TTGCCTCTCAAAACAATGTTAATCTTGATGCTTATGGTTTTGAGTTATAAAGCTCTATATTTTTATTTTCTTACCCAAAAGAAGGGGCAGAAATCATTAACATTCAGAATGCTAATATGGATATCCTACTTTGAACTATATATATAACATAGGTTATTTCTACATGCACGAAGATTACATTAGTCTGTTTCCTAATATATTTTTTTTATTGATTTACTGATTCTTTTGGTTCATGAATCTATTACTTTTGATCCTTAATATTAATTTGTCTGTGAAGGGAATGTGCACATTGACTATGTCTGCATCTATTCCTGCTTTTAAGCCTCCTGAATGTGTGGATTCCATTTGCCCTTCAGCAACTCCATATCAGTATGCAGTATTGTTCGTTGGGCTATATCTAATTGCACTTGGAACAGGAGGGATCAAGCCATGTGTTTCATCTTTTGGGGCTGATCAGTTTGATGATACTGATCCAGAAGAGAGGGTTAAGAAGGGTTCCTTTTTCAATTGGTTTTATTTTTCCGTCAACATTGGTGCTTTGATATCAAGTAGCTTCATCGTGTGGATTCAAGATAATGCAGGATGGGGCATTGGATTTGGCATTCCTGCAGTGTTTATGGGTATTGCCATAGTGAGTTTCTTTTCAGGCACCTCTCTCTACAGATTTCAGAAGCCAGGAGGAAGCCCTATTACCAGAATGTGCCAGGTTTTGGTTGCGTCATGCCACAAATGGAATTTGACAGTCCCTAGTGACAGTAGTCACCTGTATGAAACTTCAGATAAGAGCTCTGCTATCGAAGGAAGTCGAAAACTGCTGCACACTGATGAATTAAAGTAAGGTTCTTACATTACATCTAATTGCTTCTGAACCTTCTAGCCCTGCTTTGTTCCCCTTAGATTCTACCCCTGTATGCCCGTACTTTTTTCCTGAGGGTAAAATTATATTTATTGTTCATTCATTTAATAGTAATTGTATGCACCACAGTTGGGAAATGTGGGGAATTGAAGGTCACAAAATGTATTGCATCCTCTATCTTGGCCGCCAGATTTTCTTAATTATTCTGAAGAAAGGCTATTTCACAATATTTAAACCTTTTAATTTGAATAGCGTTCTCCAATTGATTGGTATACATATCTTCTTCCCGTGACATGGTGATATGTCTGTACTTTTCCCCCTTTACCTTTTTAGAATTGCTTAGTACATGATTGCTAACTAGAAACTATTTAACAACTGATCAGTAAATGATAATTTTAGTTGGATTTATGAGATTGGGCAGAAATGCTATTTCTTTCTGAAAGCGAAAGGAATGTGCAAATTATCTTGGGCATGGCTAAGTCCTCTTAGTTATAATGTGTGAGATTATTTCCAACATGCAACGCATGCTATTAAATTATTATTACATTGATACATTTTTATTTGACGTTTGACCCCTTTTGTAGTTATACTTTTCATATTGGCCAAATAAATCAAATATTTTAGCTCGGGTATTTTTCTGGAAAAAAAAAATGGGATTTCTAGAAAATCAAAAGCTCATGTCTCTTCCATTCAAAAACAGTGGAGAATTGAAGGGCATTTCATGAAGATTCAGCTATCTGGTGAAGGCTATTCTAATCAGATTTGTTAGTTTATGTTTCTTAGTGATATTTATTTCCATAATAATTTAGAAGTTAAATTAAAAATTTCAGTTTTATAAGCTGGAGGTTTAGGTAACTGAATGACAAACTTGGGGCCTAAGCCTAACGGTTTGGCATGCTGACTTGGTTGGCCACTCTTCATTCTAATCATATTAAGTTTGACATGTAAATGTTATGTTTTCTCTTCCAAATTGTTTAATTCAGATTGTGATTTTGTTAAAATTAAGTTAGAAACTTTCCCATCTCCTTATGATTTGTTACTTCTTTTGTAGGTGCCTCGATAAAGCTTCTGTAGTCTCGGAGTCTGAGACCAAAACTGGGGACTATTCTAATCCTTGGAAACTTTGCACTGTGACACAGGTTGAAGAATTGAAGATCCTGATCCGCATGTTCCCCATTTGGGCTACAGGAATAGTCTTCTCTGCTGTTTATGCTCAAATGTCAACCATGTTTGTAGAGCAAGGCATGGTGATGGACACTTCGATTGGTTCCTTTACTATTCCTGCAGCCTCTCTTTCAACTTGCGACGTTATCAGTGTTATTTTCTGGGTTCCGGTGTACGATAAGGTCCTTGTACCAATTGCTAGAAAGGTTACTGGCCAGGGAAGGGGATTCTCAGAATTGCAACGGATGGGAATAGGCCTTTTCATTTCAGTTTTTTGCATGGCAGCTGCTGCTGTGGTCGAGATCAAGCGATTGCAGCTTGCGAGAGAGCTCGGTTTGGTTGATGAAAATGTTGCTGTACCAATGAGTATTTTCTGGCAAATACCTCAGTATTTCTTGTTGGGGGCGGCTGAAGTTTTTACTTTCATTGGGCAACTCGAGTTCTTCTATGACCAATCACCAGACGCCATGCGCAGTTTGTGTAGTGCCTTCTCATTGTTCACAACTTCTTTGGGAAATTACTTGAGCTCGTTCATTCTGACAGTAGTGACATCTTTAACAACCCGAGGGGGAAATCCTGGGTGGATTCCAGATAACTTGAACAAGGGTCATCTTGATTACTTCTATTGGCTCTTGGCTGGACTCAGCTTCGTCAACATGGTGGTCTACGTTTTATGTGCCAAAATATTTAAATCAAAGAAAGCATCGTAAAGTTTACGGGGTAAGCTTCTGTGAATGAGCCTCTTTCTAGCTAGGATATTACATTCCAGCGTCTTGGCATGACAACCGGTTATGTTAGTGTTTTCTACTTCAATTCGATCCTCGTCATCGAATTCCCCAATTATATATGTAATATGAATCATGAAGAAATTTGCTTCTATTTCTTTTCAGCTGATTCTAAAGACATAATTATGTAAATACTAAGAAAAAACTCTACATTAGAGTTATCTCTTGTAAGATGCGGTTTGCAGCCTGTTTACCAGGATGGAAAGGATGCTACGACAGAGGGCATGTTTAATTGTAAAGACCAAACAAGTTGGCTTTAATTTTCTTCTACTGGAACAGCCACGGAAATTACACACACAAACATATAACATATGAACCATGGTTTTAGTAACGTTGAAACCTCGATTTCTATCAGAGCAAAGAATCAAAGATGTTTCGACTTATCATGTATATCGTCTTTTTCGTTCATATTTATCATAAATATCCAACTGTTTGTTACACATTAACATGTCATGACCTTCGCACATGGTAGACTTTGATCAATAAGATACTGAAGCAATTTGTGACTGAATTAATGTCATTATCATTTGGTCTTTCCTTGTAAAAATTAACATATGATTTGGGCTGGAATTAGGG